TGCTGAGAGCAATGTTATGTGTGGGGATAATATAATGGAAGGGTTATAACTCAGTGTAGATCACATCCTTTGTATGCAGATGGTCCAGGTATAATCCAGGACATCTCAGGGCAGGGCTGAGAAAGACTACTTTATGAAACCCTGGAGAGCCTATGTCAATCAATAGACAGGACGAAGCTAGATGGCCTAATGATTTGAGTTGGGATAAGACAACAATGTGGTTGTATGCAGTGCTATTTTTCTAGAAAAAGAGGTGCTGGAACTCACCACAAACACCTCCCTTGTTGTCTTATATTGGCAATGGTTTACCACCAGAAAGGTGCCAGAACTGAGTTCCAGTGAGTGTCAGTTGGAAAAAAAGCCCTGGTTGTATGAATGATTTCTTGCCTAGTAGCTGAAGTATATACCCAAGGTACTGGTAATTATTTGGGAATGGGTAGAGGCTAGAAGGAGAGGCAATGTGGAGATGACTAATGTTTGTATCTAGTTAATTTGTGGAGGCTCTCCCCTGGTCCTCTGCTCTCCTGTAGGGACTCTAGAGCAGGGGTGGGGCCCACCTGCCCCACAGCTTTTATATGTTCAGGTGCTGATGGGAATTGAAGTCCCACAATGTCTGGAGGGCTGCAGGTTCCCCATCCCTGTAATAAAGCAATGGGATGTGGGAAACTTCCGCTACTTACAAATGAGTCTTGGAAACTCTTCTTTTGCAGGGTCTGAACTGTATGGAATTTTGTAGGGGCCCAGTACGTACATAATCTATACAAGGTTTCTATATGGCAACTGTATAGTCCAATCCCAAACTTACTTATCAGGCACTTAGAGACATCAGAAGCTGCCTTATGCCGAGTCAGTACGATTGGTCTATCTTGCTCAGTCTTGTCTACACCAGGGTTTCCCAAACTTGGGTCTCCAGCTGTTGTTAGACTACAACTCCCATCATCCCTAGCTAGCAGGTCAGGGATGATGGGAATTGTAGTCCAAAAACAGATGGAGACCCAAGTTTGAGAAATCCTGATCTACACTGACTGGCATTAATTGTCCAGGATTTCAGGCAGGAGCCTCTCCCAACCCTACCCTGAGATGCCAGGGATTGAACCTGCGAGCTTCTGCTTGCAAGGCAGATGCTCCACCCCTGAGCAATGGCTCTTCCCCATACTTCTCAAGAGGGTTCACTTCTGAGTAATGCTACTTAAGACTGCATTGTAAAGTAAGCTTGCCACTTCAACTGGGCTCTTGCTCTACAGCATACGTGGCTCAAGGGTTAATGCAGTCCCCACCCATGATTAACTTGGCTAATCAGATACATGTTGAATTAACCGGCTGCTGACAGGTGTGAACTTTTCAACAGCAAGCAGTTCTCTCTCACCTGCTTCACAGGAGCTGCATGCCTCTGTCAGGAGAGAATTTAATTAAAATGGTCCCCCAGTACTATTGTTGGCAACTCACCATGTTCAGCCTTGTGGTATCTTACAGAATTCAGTCTGCAACTCCCCTTCCCCCCTTTCAGGCCCCTCCCATTTTGCTCATTGTTCTCTCTTCTTTGCCCCAAAGCTCTGAAATCTCAAAGACGCAGAAGATGGATTTTCTTGGCAGACAGTCAAGCCAGCCAACCCAGGCTCTTGGAATGCAATCAGAGAAGAGAGGATCTTATGAGCTTCCAAAGAGAAGCTACAGAAGGAGTAGCCAGCCCATTCGCTTTTCAACCCTCTTATCACAAATACAGAGGTGTCTACTCCTCGCTGAAACATAGCTAGTGCGTCACTGTTTCCCTCTAATATATTGAGAGCAGCACATCATAAAGAGCGCTTTTATGATTTTTTTTTAAAGACAAGCAAGTTCCATACAAGCAAGTTCAAACTCTAATTTCAGTGGTTAAGGAGGCCACTGATTGCCGTATAGGCTGGTCCTCCACTGGGGACACATGAGACACTGCCCCACCAACCTCAGTCTGCTCTTAGCCAGCCCCCACCTGCCTGCCTCCTTATTCACAACCAGTCCAGGGGGTGACACTGCTTGTCAGCATCCTCCTCCTTAGTCTCAGTGACTTCCCTTGCATAATTCAGCAGAAAGAGGATGGGGAGGAAAGTATAATTAGTTGGTTCCACCTGTCATTGGCTCTGGCTCCACCTACACTGGCTTCCCTATCTTCAACTCTACGTGTTCCAATGGGCACCAGCCACCACTGACTGAAAGGTGACTGGTAGAAAACCAAGATAGTTATTTTAGCCTTCACCCAGGGCAGGCATGAGCAATTCAGGGGCACTTTGGAGCCAGGCAAAAATACTGGCTGAAGTTGACTGTGCCACAACACACAACAGCTACTGATGTTGAAAAGCTCTCTTGCACACTTCTAATTTAAACGAGCTAGCATAACATGCATAAATTGGGCTTTACCATTAGGCTATCATCTTTTGTGCCTGTGGAACAGCTCCACCAAGTAAAATAAAAGCCTTTCAATAGCGGTCAGCTAAAGGTTCTTTGATGGATTATGCATATTTTTAAAGAAGGGGAGGAAACTTTTTTAAAGTTGAAAAGCACAATTCAGATCCATGAATTCTGTCATGGCTGACCTGTTTTTCTTTGTTCCCTAACCCTGGAAGCATTTCTCATTTTTGTCTCAGCCTGAAGAATACCTTTTGCATTCTCTTTGGGGTGTATATGCCTAGAGGTAAATTATCACACCACTGAAAGTTTATGGACTCCAGTTACCTCTCCTTTCAGCTGACCATCTTTTCTTCAGAAGGGTATTCAGCAGGCATAACTTGGGTTTTCTGATCTCACATCCAAAGCCACGTCACATGAAATCTCTTTGCAGATGGATACTAAAATAACAGCTTGATGGTAGTTTTGTTGCAGCTCTGGTGGCAACGCTGATATACTTTGCTCTCTGTGTGTTTGTGTGCAACCTTAAGCAAAATTGATCACTTTCAGCTCAGGTGTGAAGTTTGCTTGGGGTACATGATACCTTTTATGTGCTTCAATCAAGCCTTCATAGCACATACACTTGGCTCTTGAGGGAAACATCATTCTTTCAAGCATGTGAATATCTTTTTCTCCCCAACCAGATTAAGGAAAATCAATGTTTTCTTGTGAACAGCATAAAAATGCCGCTGTTTGCTTTTCTGCAGAAACTTCAAACTCCTCCTTTCCTTTAAAGCAGAGGCGGCCAGTGGTGCTGTCAGGAAAGGAACTTGGGGATAGACGTCCAGGACCCTAAACAGCAGAATGAGCAACTGGGTGGCACAGGGTGGTTTGCTTCATTTTGAGGTGGGGCAGAGGAGAATGCAATGGATTTAAAGGTGAATCTTATCAAATTCGTGCTTTCTGAAACAGAATGCAAACCTAAACAGAGCTATCCTTCAAAACTCACATTTATCCACATTTTGTTCTCTAACCTAATGTTTTCAGAAATCAATGTACTGGGGGCAAGTGTGCATAGAAATGAAAATGTTAGTGAAAATTACACACACAAATTATTATTAGAGAATATTGCTTTCAAATGTGTACATTAGTCAAAAGAACACATAAACTTACATTTATTAGAAGACATTCACACTCAAATGCTGATGAATTTATGCTAGCACATTGAATAATGTGTTGTTGAGCTAGCGTAGCTGTTTAGTTGGATACCACCCTGTATTTGTAGAAGGAGTAACATGCAGAATAAATAACTAGAAGATGGAGCAAAATATCCGTGCCAAATGAATTCTTACACTGAACAGAGTCTTAATGCAAACACTGCAGACTTTACTCCCTTTAACATCTAAAAGAAGATTATGTACATTAATGGAGTATTCTCAATGGCCATATTCTACCTGCTGTGTTGGAGGCAGTAGGGTGGTGATAAATGCCTGTCTTCTAGCTGAGGCCAGACAGACTTTTGGAGGGGGGGGAGCAATGAACAGCACTCCTATGGATGATCTTAGTGATTGAGCTAGGATATAAAGGCTCAGGTGGTACAGTATCCTGGGCCCAAGTTGTTCAGTTGCATATTAACACACAGCCTCCCCCCCCCCCCCGCCGCTTGAGCCTGGCCAGGTTGCATATGGGGAGTCAGTGTTAGCAGAGGTGTTGCATGCTGTCAGCCATCTGCCCCCATAATTCCATGGGTACTCTGTTTAGGATGATGATGATGACAGTGATGATGATATTGTTTGTACCTACTGGGTTGCCCCACTCAGATGATAGGGATGGGGAACCCGGTAGTGTTTTGATTCTTGTGCAGGACCCCTCCAAAAGTTCTATACACTTCAAATCCTGCAAAAGAATAATCTCCCATGGTTCATTCATACTCCTGAGAAATGCCATTCCATTCATTTCCTTTATTAGATTGGATGCTGCTGGACTCTAACTCCTATGAGCCCCAACCAGCATGGCCAGTCGTCAGGGATGATCGGAACTGTAGTCCAACCACACCTTGGAGGCTGCAGGTTCCCCATCCCTGGTTTAGGACTTCCTAAGTTTAACATCTGCACCTTGAATTGTGCCCCTGAAATAACTGGATAAGAATTTTTCCTCCAGGACAGAGAGCTCTGAATGTCCCTAGCCTATCAGCCAACTTACGTATAAGCTTCTGAGCAAACAAGCATCTCCTGCTATACCAGGTTAACTGTGCCATGGAGAAAAGAGCTGAGAGATGTATCTCCCTATTGAAGCTAGATGGATGAACCGAGAAGCCCATGGAGCCTGGAGGGAGAGAACAAAAGCCAGTGTGAAGAATAATATTATGCATAAAATACACATACTGTCTGATACATCTTTTCTCTTCCCGCAGATACAGCAATTCATTTTACTCCCTGAATCTTTCCCTTCCCTACAGCTCCTAGACTTATCTATTTAAATCTCACACTTTCACTGCTGTGTCAGAAAGAAAGGTTGGTGGGGGGTTGGTTTGCTTCACTACTTCTTTTGCTATATCTACATTTGCTTTGGATATTGCTGGGAAAAGAATACTCGTATTTAAGTCTGATTTCTACCAGTGTTTTTCTTCTTACCTTTAGGATGCCACTACTTATGCGGCACCTGAAGAGTTGGCATCATCACTCAGGAAGTCTGGACCTCTCCGTTTCAACTTTGGGATTGCAAGTCTCGTTTTCATGTGTCTTTGTTGATTTTGATTTTTAAAATGGTTTTTTTTTTTGGTCGCACATGGTATTCAATTTTTTGAATACTTATTTTTTTGTAAGCTTTGTATGAATATAGGAAGTTGCCTTATACTGAGGCAGCTCACCTGCCAATCTAGCCCAGTGTGTTGTCCACACACTGTTGACTGGTAGGGGTCTCAGGGCTTACAGGCAGGGGACATTTCCAGCCCTACCTGGATATATTGGGGACTGAACCAAGGACTATCTTATAGGTTTTGTCGTATAAACTTCCAATATTGGTTATTACCCCCATTCCAAATAAGACAAAGCAGGAAAATGTGCAGTTTACAGAGCTGCAGTTCATCTGATGTAATTTAGCAGGGTGCAGTCAGATGTTGCCTTGATTGTTGCCCCCCTCAATTCTGTGCATAAGAGAGCTTCAGAGATTCGCAAAGGGATGGAATAAAGTTTCTGAAGAATTTTTTTCTGCACTATTTCTAAGGCTTTGAATCTGGATTTAGAATTGAAGCCTCAAATGCCCACACTGTAAAGCTTGGGTAGAAAGTTACTAATAAGTCATAATCATTCATTCATTCATTCATTCATTCATTCATCATTTCTCTTTTAAAAACAGTCCATTGTTCAGGATGAGACCAAAGACCTGAAAGAAAGGGTGGAAGCAAATCACCTCAGCCATGTTTCAGATGACATCCAATTATTCCTGAGGAGCATATCTACTTCTGAAGATTATGACAATTAAGCAACAAGAACAACAAGTGCTTTTAAAAATGTGCTGCTTTTTTGCAACTCAAATATAGGTCCTTGACTCTTGCTGTGAATCCTCTCTCCAGTCACTGAAATGGTGCAGCTGAACAATGTGAGAAAGTTTGTCTGCGGATGGAATCCCAGCAACAGATATCAAGCTATTTTCTTTTGTGTGTTCTGTGTTTTTCCTATTTCTATTTATCTTTATCCATCTGGCCATCCTTCCTCCCATCCTGAATACACACGCAACACACACACACACACACACAAACACCCCTTCTTCCTCGAGAAGAGAAATGTCATGATGACATCAGGGTTGTGTGGGAATACACGTATTTTGAAGTCCACAACCATATTGGGCTGTCATGCAACCCACGGACAGCTTCAAAGGGAGTTAGTGCACCATCTGTAGACAGTTCCATTCAGCAGTCCCCATCACTCTCTGGCCATCTGTTAACTTCTCAGCTTACCTGCACTGCAAAATAAAGAGACGATTTCCCAGAAATCCCAGAGAAACATGCCTTCCCTTGAGCTTCAGACCTGGGGATTACAAAAAGGACAGAGGGGAAAAGAGAAAAGAACACCCCCCCCAAACACACACACACACACACACACACACACACACACACACACACTTTTTCTCATTTCCGTATGCCAACTTTTATATAATGCAGCAGAACAGAATAAAACATTTCCCTCTATTTCCAACATTCAGAGGTAAGTGTAGTTCCTTACATTGCCGAAATGGATTCATCCATGCACTGGGGTTATCAGCACGTTTGTGAGAACCTCAAGGATTGAAGAAAGACAAAGATAAAAATAACTTGCATGTTTGTATTTTCATCACCTTCACCATATTTTTTGGGGAAGGGGGGAGAACGCAAGGATGAAGGAACCTCAGAAACAACTGACTGAGAATAGACATGCTCAATGGCCACAGAATGATGACTCTTGAGGACGGAGAGAAATGCAAGAGCAGGTGGAAGCGGGGGGTGGAATTGGAGCATCACAGAGGAGTCGCAGGGTGTGGCTGAATGGAACTGTACACATTTCACAAGGCAACATTTTAGTGCAGGTACCACTTGCCCGCCAGGTAAAGATTTCCTTTGGTTTTTAATGAACTGAGATGTTGCTGTTAGTGTGCTATCAAAATTTCCCGCTGCTGTTATGGAGGTGTGTGTGTGTTTGTGTGTGAATGAATGATGGAATTGCATGCCTTTTGTTTTGTATGAATCTGTTCATGGTACAATGTAATTATGTATAATTATGTAATTTATCTTTTTAAACATATTGTAAATCAGCTGGAGACCTTTCGGTGACTAGTGGCTAACAAGTCTAACAACAACAACAACAACAACGGACAGATGCTGGAAATGAACATTGTTTACTGCAGTGCAACTGAAATTTTAATGTGGTGCAAATCATTTCCAATAGAATCTTTAAATTTGGATAAAGAAGTCTTCCATGCCTCTTGCATGATTCCATAGCAAACCAGGGATTGATTTCCTTTAAAATCAGCATTCCTGTTACATCTTCTCGTTTTTAGCAATGTTTTTCCCAGCCTCCTTGCTAATCAGATTGCTCAAGTTTCCCTCATCACTCCCAGCATTTTGAGACACATGCATAGCTATGAGTGTGATGTCACCAAGAAATTTTCATGATGTCACGGCCAGTTCTTCCTAGAGTAGTTTTTCCATTTTTCTTTAGAAAATGTTTTTCTCCCTTCAGATAAGGTGTCAAGTGAACTGTATTTAGCATCTTACAAACAATACTTTTCCTACCCAAACAATAACTTAGATTAGCATTAAATAGGTAAATAACATTAACTACAAGGATAACCAAGTCTGGGAGAGGGAAACTAAAAATTAAACCAGCAGTGGAATCAGAAAGTGAGTACACATTTTACTTGAGCACAAAAAGAGGAAATATTTTTATTATTTTAATCATCATGACAATTCATGAACATATTAGCACAAATTTCTCCTAACAAACAAATATTTCTACACAGGTTTTTTTTTACTGTTTTGCACATTTTTACAAGTAAGTGTATTTAAAAATCTATTTTTGTATGCTATTTTCACTAGTATGCTCATTTTTATTCAAACTTTTCCATAATACATGCATTTTTGTAAGCACTGGCCAGTTGGAAAATGGCACCAGAAATATCAGAAAACTGAGAATTTCACAGGATTCCCATGTTTTGGTTCTCTTATTGTTCTGGAAAGGGCTAATTTGATCAGAGTCACCTTTAAAGGGAAACCAAATGGCAGTTCTCTTCCATCCCTACTACTGCTGCCACAAATTAAATAAGCAATATGTTAAGTAAAAACCCCTTTGACTGCCCCTTGCTTTGCTGCCATTGGTTCTTGGCAGGATCAAGGATGGAAACACCTGTTGGAAATTGCACAAATCAGGCATGCTAAATTAACACTTTATTCTGTGTAATTACCACATCCATTTGAAATGTTATGTGAAATGTATTGCTTAGTTTTGAAGAGGGGGAAGGGGTGCAGCCCAGACCTTGGCTTCACCTTTTACGATGTTTATGTAACAGAATTTGCTTGGCTTCATCTCTTATGATATTGCTTTTGTTTCATTGTCTTTGCTACTCAGTGAGCAAGCAAGCAGTTTCCAAGGCAATGCTTCCTGGAGCAGAACCACTCAAACATTTTTTGAAATCTTTACACTTAAAGAAAACAACACAAGAACAACAACATGAAAGAATTTTTTTCCAGGTGTTTTTGTTTATTGATGTGTCATAATTTCAAGTGTTTTTGGTTACTCAACACAGGTAATAAGAGAAGAACTCCTAAACATGCTGTTTCAATAAAACATATTCCATGTTCAGCAACAAAAACATTATCCCTGCGCATGTATACTGCATCAAAGCCAGCGTGATGTGGTGGCAAGGTGCAATTGTGTATAAATAGCCACCTGAGAGGTACCTTCAATGAACACACTGGTACATTGTTCCAAATAGGCATCTACTGGATTATGTCCCTGGACTAACACTGAGAAGACCTGGTTTAAATTCCAGCTCAGATATGATGCTCACTGAGTGACATAGGACCAGACATTTCCCCCCCCCCAGGGTGTTGTGAGGATAAAATGGGGAGGGGAACCACATACATTGCCCTGACGTCCTTAGAGTTAGAGATTGACAGAGCAGTTTGTTTCTGGTCCATGCCAGTTTCACATGTGTTCCTTCATAGCATCATTCCATCCTGTTTCTTCATCAGTTTGTGAATTCTTTTTTCTTTTAAGTCCATGTGAAAAATTGCATTACTTCTTGTATGCATCGTGTCCATGAATTTCCCCCTAAAACATGGATTTTAGTACATTTTTGAGACAACAATTGTTTCTCAAAATTCTTATAAGTGTAATGGGAATGGGAGTGCCTTTGTATTCTGAGGAATGAGTAGTGTACAGTGATAACTCTTCTAGTGTCAAGACATTCTTTTGGGGGTCTAGAACCCTTTAATTAGCCAGTCACATTTCTTATCTCATGTCCAGTCACCTGCTAATGGGGTGGCTAATTTCTTACCTATTGCTTAGTCACAGGCAGCTCTTGGCAGAGTTTCATGACCACCTATTAACATAGAGCAGAGGTGCCCCCTGTACATCACCTTCACAGACCTGAAATATGACTTTCATCAGCTAAAAAGAACTCTTCACACTGCTTAGCTGCAAGATAAAGTGCCCACCTAAGCTCCACAAGATGATTGTGTCCTTTCATGAGAACATATCCAGTATGATTGTTCATCCTCAAATGCCTTCCCTATTAAGTTGAAGCACAGGGAGGAGAAATGCAGTGGTGCACCTGTAGCAGCAAAATCCGACTTCATCTGCCCAAGCTGCAATAAAACATGCCTCTACTGTATTAGTTTCTACAGCCAAAGTAGTAGGTGCTGTACTACAAAGTAGTAGGTGCTGTAACTCTCCAATGGTATGACTTTACCCCCAATGACACACTCTTCAATTGTCTCTTCCCCCAATTATCTCTTTAACCCCATTGTCTCTTTACCCCCAATGACACACTCTTCCATTGAGAGCCAGTGTGGTGTAGTGGTTAAGAGTGGTAGATTCGTAATCTGGTGAGCCAGGTTCGCTTCCCCACTCCTCCACATGCAGCTGTTGGGTGACCCTGGGCTAGTCACACTTCTCTGAAGTCTCTCAGCCCCACTCACCTCACAGAGTGTTTGTTGTGGGGGAGGAAGGGAAAGGAGAATGTTAGCCTCTTTGAGACTCCTTCAGGTAGTGATAAAGCAGGCTATCAAATCCAAACTACTACTCCTCCTCCTCCTCCTCCTCCTCCTCCTCCTCCACTTCTTCTTCTTCTTCTTCTTCTTCTTCTTCTTCTTCTTCTTCTTCTTCTTCTTCTTCTTCTTCTTCTTTAGACACAGATGTATGCCAACAAAGGTTTCTTTTCATGTAGTCTCTGAAAATTCTTATGTTTGCAAGATCTAAAAGGAAGTTCTCCATGAACCTCAGCGTAGGCCAATACCTGTGAAGGTGTTACGTACCAGCTGCTATAGAGTCCTTCCATTGATGTTCTGAGTGAAGGGGTACAAGCATTCCTTATTCTGTCTGTAATCAAGTTATAATAAACATTTGCTATTCTTCACTCATAGTTTGGCCATTGCATTTAGATCCACTAAAAGAACTGTTGCTGTTGGCAACATACAAAAGCATAACTGCACTCCAACAAACATATTCATTCAGGAAGTGTGAATCAGATCACTTTGCTTAAAAATGTGGATTGAATGAAATCCTCAAGCATTCCTACTTCAATGAAGGCTGGGATAAAAACATAGCAAACCAAACTTACGTTTTGACTTTCAGTCTTCTTTTGGCTTTTGTGTAAGAAATGTATAACATTTTAAGCAATTTCTAACCACATTTAAGATTTCTTAAAACTGCCATCAAATGAGTTTTTCTTATTTTACTAACATCAAGGACTTGCAGTACCAGCAACCTGCAAGGACACAAGAAAATCCCTGCCAAAGTCCATGGGGACCTCACAAGCAGGAAATGCACCCAGTTGATCAATATTATTACCAAACATTGCACCTTCATAAGGAGTGGTGAAACTCACTTAATAGTAGCTAAGTCTATAATAACTTGCTGGATCAGACTAACTGGGAAGCTGCTCTCCCTGTTTAACTGTTACTCTAAGGAACCCTAAGGATCATTTAGTCCCACCTCCTGTTAGGCAGGAGTCTCAACTAAATTATAATAGAACCAAAGAATACACATGACTTAGCTATGGCCATTCATTTCTATATGTGTACAGACAGTGTTGCGAATTCTCCGCAGCGCTTTTAGCAGAAATGCTGAGTTCCAGGTTCTTCAGTGCAGTATGTTTATTGTGATCCATATATACAAATATCTACAGGCTATAATACACGAGCAGTTCATACTGTCAAACAGAGTACCTGGCTGCATCTTAAGGCAAATAGGAAGACCTCTAACACACACACACACTCTCTCTCTCTCTCTGACCACACTCCTCTACACCACCCCACTTACTGCTGGACAGGTTTCCCTTTAAAACTGATGACAGCCAATCAACTGACAGCACATTACTGCTGAGTCATTCTGACCCAGCACTTCCAGAGAAAGTATTGCGGGCTGATTACATCAGCCAGTTGCATCAGCTAGCAAACTCAAGCCTGCAGACTTACTATCTCACACAGCATTCTGTGAATCTCCATAGAAAGTAACCAGAAAGCAGAGGAGGAATGACAGCTGGGAGGAGCACAGAAAGAAGAAATATCATGGTACACCTACATCAGCACAACTAGATGCCTCAGCTGCAACAAAACATGCCTCTCTTGTATTTTGGCCATGGGCATATACAACGGTGGATTTTGGAGTGTGCATTTTCTTTCATAGTATTAGCCAGAATGCAAACAGAATGTAAGCCGAATCTAGGATAGCGTATGCAGGAATGTGGGTTTTATACCTTGAAAAAGAATCCTCAGATTTGGAAAAGGGAGCTTCTAGTGGCAACTGTGAACATATTTTAAAAAGAAAAAGAGGGGGGGGGAGAGAACATGCGACAAGTGACAGTTTGGAGGCACACATTTTGATGATACATGAATTGGCAGAGGGGAGACTTTGACTGGCATCCAAGAATGTATCTATATTTGTAGGATGCAATATTTATTTACTAGCACAGAATATATATTAATATGGTTTGGCATAACTTATGGATCCGTTAAGGTACTTAGATAATAAATATGAATCTGAAATTTGGTATACACTTAACTGACAATGCCCATAACAGAAGATGGCTTTAATAGTCCAGGTGGATGATCTCTCTGTTTGGAGATTAGTACGTATTTCCTTGTTGAATCTGCTGGACTTGTTGGTGGCTTTCAGTGCTCTAGGCCAGGGTTCAACATCCTGGGGCTTTCCAGTTGTTGTGCTGTGCTGTTTGGGGCTGATGGGAGTTGTACTGTAAAACATCTAGAAAGCCCCTGGTTGTCAATCACTGCTCTAGACCATGACATTCTTTGGATAGCATTGGGTATCTGGCAGGTATCTTGCAAACGTCATTCCAATGGGGTTGCTCTTTTCTATCTGACAGGGTTTAGAAGGTGGTCATTGGAGAGGCAATATCAGCTCCATGGGCTCATGTTCCCACTAATATTGTTCAACATCCTCATGGAGCTGTGAATGGAGATTATTCATAGCTTTAGAGTTGGGTGTCATCAAGTGCGCACACACAGAGAGAGATGGAGATAGAGGAATGTTTATACACCCCATAAATTGATGTTGCTATGGGAATAGGATGGCTCTCCTGAACCCAGCTGCCTGGGCTGCATATACAGTTCTGCCTCCTTCATCCCCAGATACATGAAATGTTGTGGACATGCTGCTTTATTTTTGGAGCTCTCTAATCAGTACAGGTCTTACTCTCTGACCCTTCACATCAGATGTCAGCTAGTACTGATCAGGTTATCAACAGAGGAGGAAGATCAACAGGTGCTCATTGACAGCAACAACATGCAACAATTAACGACCAAAGAGGTCACTGATGAGGCCAAATCGGTCTGCGCACTGATGTTAATAATTTAAGAACATAAGAAGAGCCTGCTAGATCAGGCCAATTAAGTCTACTATCCTATTCTCACAGTGGCCAACCAGATGCCCATGGGAAGCCTGCAAGCAGAAGCTGGGTGCAAGAGCATTCTCCTCACCTGCAGTTCTCAGGGCTGGGTATTCTAAAGTATGCTGCCTCCAGCAGCAGAGATCACAGCCAGTATAGCTACTAGTTTTCAATAGCTTTACTGTCTATGAATTGCTCCATCTGGACATTGAGGTCCTCCTCCGAGGGCCTTCTGGTGGTTGCCTCACTGCGAAAAGCCAAGTTACAGGGAACCAGGCAGAGGGCCTTCTCGGTAGTGGCACCCGCCCTGTGGAACGCCGTCCCACCAGATGTCAAAGAGAACAACAACTACCAGACTTTTAGAAGACATCTGAAGGCAGCCCTGTTTAGGGAAACTTTTAATGTTTGATGCATTACTGTATTTTAATATTTTGTTGGAAGCCATCCAGAGTGGCTGGGTGGCTTATTATTATTATTATTATTATTATTATTATTATTGGTGGGAGCTACGTGCTGTGAGTATTCTATTCTCTCCATTCACTAGTTACCTGCTGTCCCTATTGTATCAATGCTGTCCTCTAAGTCCCAGCACTGCAGCTCACTAGGCTTCTAGCATTAGCATGTAAACACTTAAAAGTGTTGCTGTCCAAATGTCTTTGGCACATGTATTTTAGCCTATGGTGCTTTGGCCGCTCTGAATTGCTATATCATGTAACCTTGTGCTCTCATTCCCTAGTTCTACCCCCTCCGCCAATTTAAATTATTTTTATTTTATTTTCACCACCATCTTCATCCCAGGAGAAAGATTTGTTCCAGCCTGGACCCTCCTCAGCTCCTGTCAGCTTTCCCTCTGCAATCTGTTTAAGCTCTTCCACCTTTTTTCTTTTCTTTTATTCATCAGTCATCTAGTTCCATTCTGCTTTAAGACTTCTGTCCAGCAGGCAGATTAGCTGTATGCATGATGAGCTGTGTAATACACTAAAATGCCCACAAACCCCAACGGATTTCTAGCAGCTTATCTATTTGTATTTGTGTTCTTGTATTTTGGATGATGGGAGACACAAACTTTACTTAACTCTCCTGAGGCACTGAAGCAATTGGTGTCTGCCTTTTTCTGTGCCTGGGACTTCTTATTTTTTGAAGCATCATCCTTTTTACATACAATGGCTATTTTGATAGCTGCCAACATGCACTTGCTCCTTTATCACTTGACAGCTGCCTATCCTGATGCTACACATATTCAGAGAGAAAAATGGTTATCCATGGATGAGAGAGTTTGGTTGTTGCTGAGTTTAGTAGCTTCGGAATTCTGGCTTCCTCCCTGTTGTCACCCCCCACTTCCTTGTTTCCTCTTTGATCCATTTATGTGATTTTTGTGTGGCCCTGGTACGTTTTTGACTGGGTGCAGTTTCCTCCTGGAAGAAAGATAAGAGCTTTCCCCGTATTTTCCTCCAATTCCCACAGAAAACCACAATGTTCAGAGCCACCTCAGCTCACTTTTCAGCCAAATCACAGAGACCTAATTCTTGCCAAGTCTTTGTGAGATTTCGCCATGGAACAGTGGGGCTTTCCTTTGCTAGTACCTGCTTTAGGAAAAGCGGAAAACTCTCCCATAGAACTATTTGCATTTTGGGGACTAATAACCCTTTCCTTCGCATCTGATTGGAGCCTGAATACTGAGCCTCATTCAAATCACTCACCCAGTTGTCTCTCTCAGCTTCCAGGGATTGACTTTGTTGGCAGGGCCCCCCCGGTCCAGAACATGCATTTCTGCACTATAGAGATGCAGTGCTCATGGAATGAGAGTAGATTTGAACATAAGCTCCAGGAGGGTACATGATATCATACAATATGCTTTCCTTGTTGCTGAAATACCTTTCCAACAGCTGCCTTCCAATGCTGGCTTGCACTTTAATTACCTTGAAAATTGGCTGCTTCCACAAACTCTTAAAATATGCTCTCTGTGTTGCACAGGGGATTTTACAAGAAATACAGTGACTAAGGACCAATGCAAAGTCACAAATAAGCATCCCCACAAAAGATGTTCTCTGTGGCTTGGCATTATAGGAAGCTGCCTAGTCAGACCATTGGTCCATCTAGTTCAGTACTGTAACACTGTAATGCATGGCAGTAGCTTTCCAGGGTATCAGACTGATGTTCTTCACACCCTTAAGTGGAGATCACAGGTATCAAGCCTGGGTCCTTCTGCATGCTCTGTTGAGCTACAGCCCCCACTTGGTCACATTTCTACCACCACAAACTACCTCTGCAAGCACTCTCAGTGTGATGGTGGAGGGAACATGTTCTGTAAGAAAACCAAGCCTGAAGGCATGTAAATCATATTCATTTTGAAAAATTATTATGTTACATTATGTTAATTACATACAAATGTGTGCTCATTCTTATAGCACCCGGCTAAGATGACGATATGTTGAAGATGCAAATATTTCATATTCAATCCTCAGGTGAAAAAAGTGAAAAATCAAAATTATATTCTCAACAAATTAAACACACAAGTTATTTTTATAGAAGGATAGCTCTTAACTTTGCCAGCATGAACCTTCTTTGTTCTAATATCACTTTTTTAAAAATGACATCATAGCACTATAATTTTAAGTTTCTTTTCTTTACATAACAGGATTGACATTTGTTTTCAATACTTTGCATAATGTGCAAAACACGTTGTAGTTATCATACACACTATTAATTCCAGAGATTGAATGGCACTTGCTTACTATAGATTGAAAAGAAAACAATGGTTCAAAAAATGTATCTGAGGAGCCTTGTGAAGGTTGTCACTTCAAAATTTGACTGACACTGGTCAGATTCACCAGCTGTGATAAAAATTAAACCCAAAGGCCGAGAAGTGATCTAATCCTAAAAAATGAAACAATTTTATTTCATGTTGCTTAGAATACAGTGCAGCTAATGAAGCCATTTGCTAGGCAAAAGTGCTGATGGCTTCTGTATGGCAGGAAGGAAAAAGTGGCAGTGGTGGTGGGCAGGGGGTAATTATCACCTTTACCTTTGGGCACCAGGATGATGCAGTCAGCACTGTACAAAGACATGGGGGCTGGTTAGATGGTCACTCCTGCTGACATTAGCAACCTGAGCTGATGCTAGAATGGCTTACCAGACAACACAACACATCCACTATGGATGTGTTGGAGGAACTGGGTAGAGGAAGGAATTAATTTCCTTCATGAGCAAAAATCATATATGATATAAGCCAACAGGTGCATGATCAGCCAAGGCAGTTGCTACGGCAATGGTCCAGTGCTGGCTATATAAGTGATTAAGGCACATCTGCTAATTGTCAGGGTGTCAGGGTCAGTCAGTGAGTAAGTTGTAGTCTGTGTTATGTCCTAAATTGCTGCAGTAACAGGAATACTTTCTATTTGTACATATCTGCATCTGCAAAAGCCTACAAGCTGTATCTATGTATCACTGTCCAGAGCCGTCGTACTGAAGCCTTATCTTCTGCAGCAGTAAACTGTTTTGGACCTTATGCTGCCTTTGCATGGAATTGGGGGACAACATCTGCTATGTGGGTATCTTACCTCAAATTCCTATCAAGATGGATGAATCTGCCAGTTTCAGTTCTTTGGGTTTCTCGTTTGTCCAATCTTAAACTCAATTCTTCACATTTCTGCAGCGATTTGTGAAATCCTCATGAAAAATTGTCAGCCTATTAGTACAAAATTCTCCTAACGAACATGTTTTTGTATATAGTTTTGACTAACATACACATTTTGCAAGCAATTTCCCATAATATAATGTATTTTTTATATGTTATTTCCACTAACAGATGTGTTTTAAGAGCATTTCCGCAATATGCATCACAAATTTCAGAGAAGTGTGAAGTTTGAAGGATAGCTGTGTTTCAGTTTGTGTACTGGTTTGAGAAGTGTGAATTAGTCAGTTTATCAGTGAATAACAGACACCACTGTTTTCCTCTCAGGTTTCGTAGACCGAGGGCAAGTTAGCGTTGTCCTTTCTCTCTCATTTGGCTTCATGACCATGCTACATGATAACAACCCCCTCCAAACAAAAACCAGGAAAAGTTCAAGTAAGAACTTTCGTTCAATCTATTCATTTACTCTGCATTATCTTGTTCTGACCTGGCTGCTGAAGCTGAGTGTGTTAGTAAATGGATTGTTAAGGTTTTCCTTTGTTCAAGCTTAAGGATGTCTAATGGAATGTTCAATGACACAGTGGATCCAATTGTATTTACCATAAAGGATCTGAACCTCAAACTCATTCAACAAGATTTTCTATCTAGGTTTATTATTTGCAGGGAGATGACATTTTGCATTTTTGGGGGGTGGGGGTGGGGGAGAGATGGCATTTTGTAATTTAAGGCATCAGTTTAGCCATAGTCTCTCTGTGTGTGTCACTTGACCTTTTTAAAAATAATGTCTTCAGCCTTTTTTTTTTTTTAGAGACATGAAAACTGAATAGTCTGATAATACATTAGCATACTATTTAAAATGTAGCTCACGGGTGCAAATTCCAATACAAGATGTTTGCACCATCCCGATCTATGTCTGCTGTTGCATCTGTACCATATATAAATAATAACAACAGCAAAAACCCTCAAGGGTAGATCATCTAGCAAAAGCTTTCAGGGATTGTGCAAGTCTGAAGTGGTGAGCTGTGGTATGCAATTCATAAAGTATTAAGGATGGGGTAGGGCTGTAGGTCAATGGCAGAAAATGATTTGCATTTTAATGCTCCTATGTTCCATCTCCAGTATCTCAAAAGGCCTAGGGAAAAGTCCAGTCTGAAATCCAGAAGAGCAATTGCCAGATGGACCAATGGTCTGACTCCATATATAAGGCAGTTTCTTATGTTCCTAAAATAAACCTAACATGAGAAGAGGTGTCTTTGAACACGCCACTCAGTTTATTTATGCACTTACAATGTTGCCCAATATGAGATGGGTGAACTTCAACCATTTTCAGACAAACTGTGAGAAACTGGTTTCAAGTGGAAAGGCTTTATTTATTATTATTACAGAAGTAGAGCTTGTTAAGTATAACTTAGTAGAGTCATGTGCTATGGAGCAGCTCAAAACGAGCATAAATTAATCTGGGTCATTCAAAGTTTGCAAGGCAAGGTGAAGATCTGACATGTAAAAGGACTGAGTTATTGCATAATAGATTGGATGTATTGGATTGAATAAAGACCTGAATTTGATATGTGGGAAAGGGGAACAGGAAAAAGTACATCTTAAAGCTTTTGAACACAAAGAAAAATGTATTCGACTTGATCCAGATCCTGACCTTCAATGCCCCACCAGAATGCACATTGGCAAATTATTTTCCTTTAACTTTATACCCTACCTTTTGGCCAAATTGGCCACCAAAGTGGCTAATAACATACTTTCTTAATCTATATTCTGTTCTCAAAGTTTCAAAATAACAGAGCCTGGAAGGTTTGGTTGTAGCCCATTTCTGTGCATTTCTTTCCTCTAAGACAGGGATGGGGAACTTGTGGTCAGATGTTACTGGATTACAATTTCTGTAATTCCTGACCATTGGCCATGCTGGCTGAGGCTGATGGGAATCCAACAACATCTAGAGGTTTCCCTTCTCTGCTCTTCAGGTTTATAAAATCTTCTCCTGAGATTTCTCTAGAAGTGATACAAGGCTTTTGAACTGGATTGTGATCTGGTTACTGGTGCCCCATAGCTTTGGCTTAGCAAGTTTATGGTCATGGGTCATATGTAGTATGTTATTTAAGTATTGGAGCTTGCCAGCTCTTTGATAAAATCTGTTTCTATGGCTACAGACCTGAAATGTGAGGCTATTTTAACCGAATGTAGTCTATATTTCACATCTGTTTTTTAAACACACTTTAAGCCCTTAGGATAGAATGCCATGTAGTATTGAATAGATGTGTGAGCAGTGGAAAAAGCTGAAGAGAGACCATCAATTCCAGCTTACCGTCATGAGCAGGAGTTTTAGTTTCAAGTGATAGATTGGAGAATCACAGGGCAGGGATGGGGAACCTATGGCCCCCCAGGTGTTGCTGATTGTGTTTGCTGGGGCTAATGGGAACTGGAATCCATCAACATCTGGAAGGCCACATATTCCTCATTCTTGTCATAGCGTCCATATTTCTGTTCAAGTGTTATCCTTGAAAAGGGATGCTGACATGAGATGGGGAGATATGATCACATGTGGAGGCCCATCCCCCAACTTCCCCAACAGAAGGAAGCCCCATTGGCTCCACCTACAACAGAATGTCTAGATCACAGAATCATAGAATCGTAGAGTCATCTAATCCAACCCCCTGCAGTGCAGGAAATTCAGCTAAAGCTTTAATGGGCAGATGGCCATCCAACCTCTTATGACTGGGCTTCGAAGAGCATTCAAAAGAATATACTTAGAAGCTTCCTTATGTTGACACAGGGTTCCCCATTACAGTGAGGTTTCAAAGTGCATTCAGCCGAATGTGCTTGGAAGCCCCTTTCAAAGTTTCCTGCACAGTGTGTGAACATCGGGGTGGAGCAAGTGAGGATATGGAACCTGGTGTAGGGTATGTGCACACAGCTCCACAGCACCTACCTGTTTTGGAACTCCCTGTTCAGACATAACTGCTGGTCAGAGGTCTTGTGAGCAATTGTAAATTTGATGATGTTTCCCTGTTGTATGTGTATGAATGTATGAATTCTGAGACACTCCCTTAGAGAGAAATGAGTTGTTTTTGTTTAATTTCTCTTTCCTTCTGGTTGGTAGCTTTTGTTTTTGTTCAGCAGAGCTAGGTGTGCCCTTGTTGTGGCCGAATATGGTTAGTCACTTCAGATATAAGACTGTCGGTGGAATTATTGCGGCACATTTGGCCGAGGAATTCTGAAGGCGTTTGGCTGCTCCCTGTGAAACAGCTTCTTAAAGAATATATGTCTGGCTCCAAATAACATAGATACCTTCACTTGGTTTGTGTGGGAAGTACGGAAAATATCACCTAGGTTGGGCTGTGTGAAAATAAAGGATTTTTTTGTAGCGGAGGCTTTTTTTTTTGAAGGAAGTCTTAGTCTGCTTAATAAAGGAACGGTTCAGTGTTATGCAGTGCGCATATTTCATGGAAAAATGGGTTTGCTATCAAGACTCAGTGAAGTAGAAGCAAACACATGAAGGACTGAGTCCCAAATGAACTGAGTTGGTATCAGGGCAGATGTTAAGGTCTTTAGTATTCATTTTTGCTAAAAGGAACAAATTTCATTCTGAGGGCTGCAGAAAATGAGCTGGGTGCTTAGGTGTCTCAAATATAGGCAGATTTCTTTCCACTTAACCAGCGGTGACCATGGCAGGTCAATACCTTACTTAATGATACTTATGTGAAGAAGATAGGGGGGTAAGGTGAAGGGCAGGTAATAAATTGTAACAATGATAATGCCAATGTACAAGATTTTCATAAAATTATGCATATGCAAAACACAACAAATGTCTTCTCTTTGGTGTTTCATTTCCTGAATTTCCGCAGCATATTTATATGGACTAACCAAAGACTCAATTTTTGAAGAATTCCAGTTGTGTATCACCTTCACATAGTATAGTGACTATAGCAAATAAAGGTTTTGTAATGTTTCCTGTAGTTGCGCTACATAATGGGTTTTGTGATCAGCCTCTGAAATCCCCATAGATGTACATTCTGGATTTGTTTATACACAAGAAATTGTATGATTCATGTAGAAATCTGAAATCTTAATCCTGACCTTCATCTAAAATCTAGAGCATAAAGTCCTCTAGGATTTTGAATCCAAATTGGGGTTGGGGGAGAGAGAAGCTTCCTTTAAAAATGGGAGCATTTCTCTCTTTGCAGAGGAAGCAGTCAGGTGAAAAGAAAAAAAGCCCCATGAATCCAAGTGATCCAAACAATTTTACTTGCATAAGGAAAAATACTCCTTTTTAGGAGCATGTATTCCTCTGTAGGAGGGACGCGGGTGGTGCTGTGGGTTAGACCACAGAGCCTAGGACTTGCTGATCAGATGATCGGCGGTTTGAATCCCCGCGATGGGGTGAGCTCCCGTTGCTTGGTCCCTGCTCCTGCCAACCTAGCAGTTCGAAAGCACATCAAAGTGCAAGTAGATAAATAGGTACCGCTCCGGCAGGAAGGTAAATGGCGTTTCCGTGCACTGCTCTGGTTCGCCAGAAGCGGCTTAGTCATGCTGGCCATATGACCCGGAAGCTGTACGCCGGCTCCCTCAGCCAATAAAGCGAGATGAGCGCCGCAACCCCAGAGTCGGCCACGACTGGACCTAATGGTCAGGGGTCCCTTTACCTTTATTCCTCTGGAGAGACATCTGCTCACCTGGACCTTCTCCCACCATGATGCAGCTGCTTGGTAGGTCCCTCCTTCTTGCATTTTCTCCTTTTTTTCTCCTGACCAGGAGCTACTTGACCAAGGTCTGAATTTCTCCAAATCAGCCCGATTCCATTTGGGACTCGTTGGAATCCACTGCACAGCTCTAACAGATAGGGCATCATAATTCAAAGCACTTGTGCTTTCCTATCAAAGTGTAACCTCGTAGTTTTGTAGCTTCTTCACTGAGCTGATTTCCCATGGAAAAAAACAACCTACAATGTGGGCGAAAAATATAAATGCCTGGTCATATGTTCAGTGATTATGCAAAATGTCCCTTTATTGTGCCCATCCTTCTGTTTTCCAGCTTCTCTGCTTGCTGAATCTATGTCGGGGTGTGAAAATCTGTGATGCATTGAATTAACAGGAGGCGGCGTAAAACATGTTGAAATTTATAGGAAAATAAAACAGCGCAAGGGAAATTAATTTTACAGGTTGTGTATTCCTTCATGTCGCTTTCGGTAAATGCTTGCTACTGCATATATATATACCTATATATAGATATATATATGTAGCTTTCAGGTGATAGTGCTGGGAAACCACAACTCCTGGACTTCTTGCAAACTATAGAATTTGTATCTGGCTAGGCTTTAGAAGCCTTCTTGACTGCAAAACTTCTGCTCTAGATATAACACATCTTTCTGGAGGTAAAGGATTGCCAAGCCCATCCCTAATGGAGAATAATGAGCAGAGCAATCAAAACCCAATGAAATGACAGATCTGAACACAGCAGAGTGCAAAAGGAAGTCAGGCGGCTTCCTTTGATAAGTGCGTCACGAGAGACTATCAAAAGGAAAGGTAAGAAAATAAAAGCCTCCTATTCTCCGATAAAGCTTGCTTGAAGCGGAAATGTCAGAGGCTGTTGCTTTTTTAACCACTTGTTCCTCTTGCCTTTATCTCAATTCACGTTGGGTGAATGAGGGTTATTTGTTTTCCCTCCTCTATAGTCTTTTCCTGCCTTATCAAAGACTGCTGGTTGCTTTCACTTGGGCACGCGCTCGCTGGGAAGCCACATTTAGTAATGTAAATGTATTTTCCTTCCCTGAAGCAGCAGCAACGAAAGAATTGCACCACTTTGCTTGTCTCTGCCTCAAATGAACATGAGAGCGGAACAGAGGGAGGTTGACTGACAGCGACAGCAAGAGAGGACTCCAGGGGATGGAGCCTTTTGGGTGAAGGCTGCAGAATGCTCTATCTAGCCTTTGCATTGTCCTCTGTTGATGTAGCATATGCAACCAAGTGCAGAATGGAAAGTGAGTAGCAGCCCTCGGCCATAGACTCTCTGGGCACATTCAGATAAACGGCTCTTCTTCAGTGTGCATTGATTCCCCCCCCCCCCCGCCCCCCAGTCTCTTTGCATTGGAAAACAAGTGTTTATATATAGCGGACAGATGAAGAATGGGAAGTTCTCTACTTTCTGAAATTTTATTTTTTTCTCTCTTTTAACCTCTTTCCTACTCTTTTTTCTTTATTTCTCTCTTTTTCTTTACCTACTCCTTTTCTCCTTAAAGTCTTAGTTCAGATTTAAAAAGGGGAAAAGATATTTGATATTAAGCTTTGTATTTTCCCCTCTATATTCCCTAATAAAACATTATGATTATTTTTTTAAAGGAAAACAATTGGGCCTACCTTGTCTTATGGACTACCCAATTTCACTGCATCTCCAACCAATGCTCAGTGGACAGCTTTTCACAGCTCGACTTACCTTAGACTTTAGAGGAAGAACTGGCTCCTCCTGATTCTCAAAATGCAGCAATTGCAAACAGCCAATGTACTCTATATACTGCCTCTCAGGCCATAGGATCCCAGTGAAGTGCACACACATAATAGGGGCCTTTCACTTAACGAAGATTCAGCAGTTTCTCTCCTGAGTCTGAGCTTTGTCTTTCTCTAACGCTTTTTAGCTCCTCTTTATCTGCATTATTTCAACTCCCCCTCTCAAATTCATGGCTGAGGGGCAGACAGTTCTGGATAAGACTCCAGTGCCCCATTTAAAAAATAAAAAATACAAATAAAATTCTCCCCATCCTCTCTGTGTTTAGGTTTCATTCCCCCCCTTATAAACTGAACATTTGGCTCTTCAGTGAACTTTGCTGCTTAGAAGAACGAGGGGTGTCACAAGGGGGGTGTCATGCCAAGGGTGGTGCTCATACCCCCTGCAGGTAGATTTCCGCGATTGGCATTCAACCCTTCCTAAAAAAAGCCCAACAACTCTGGGGTACCCTAAAAAAGCTCAACAACTCACACCAGGTACCACCTGACCTTGCTACGCCTCTGAGAACAACCTCTTCAAAAGACGGAAGGGATTAATTTTATAAGAAAGAACAGAGAATCAAATCAGTGATCCTCACACACACTGTGCTAGACCCCTGGCAAAAGGTGGCACATCAGAGGAGCCTTAATACACTGCAGACGTCAGATCTCCCTGGAGACCTAGAGATGTGACAATAGACTGCTCTGCCTCCTTTCTTTTAGCAAATGTTTTGTGCCACTGGGGAAGTGGTAATTCTGTATTGATTCTGTATTGATTTGTTTTGGATGTTTGTATGTGATGCCAATAAAAGGTTTGGTGATCATGATGATGTTCTGTGCTTTCCATGGGCCACACCTGGCAAAGGGGTTGAAGGTAGCGCCAACTGGATGCAGGGATTTATTTCAGAAATCTCATTGATACCTCACTGAATCATAGAGTTAGAACGGACCTTGAGGATCATCTAGTCCAACCCTTTGCAGTGCAGGAATGTGGATCCCCCTTACGGGGATCAAACCTGCAACCTTGGTGTTGTCAGCGACACACTCTAAATTCTATCTTGTTTAATAAAGTAGCTCACATAATGGATGGTATCAATAGAATTTTAAGCAGAGAATATTTCCAAAGTCTTTACATGAGCCAAAGTGCCCCTGAAGTCCAGGGAAGTTTGACTGAGTTCTCTGGCACCCCTGTGTACTAAGTCTATCACAGTGAGAGGGTGAGTAGGAATTCTCAAATCTATCACGGTTCTTTTTTCACTGCCATCACATGTTAATTTTGGCCATTCCCCTGAAGATTCTGCCAAGTGGCTTCTGTGTCCCTGAAGTAGGCATTTAATTGCATAGAATGCAGCCTAGGCAAACTGATTAGTTTTAAAATATGACTGACGAAGAAATAATTGCCATAAGATATGCAAAAGAATTGTCAGTGAGGGATGATAAATGGGATTGATTTTTACATAGTGCAAAAATAAAGGAAAGCATGGATTTTGCACAACTTTGTTGTCTCATTTAATGATTCATATTTGTTATTTGTCAAAACAAAAGGAGACTAATGATTTCAGATGACTACACAAATGGACAGTGCCGTTTCAGCTGCTCTGATGGCCACCCTGGGATTTAGAAGTGAAATGCCTGCAGGCCACTGGGGATATATAGCAAAAGGCTGTTCCAGTGAATTGATTCTTAGATGACAGAGGCAACCATTTCTGAAGAAAATAATACGTTCTGTGAGCTCCCACACCCGTTAAAAAAGGAACACACAACGATTGAATTGTAGGGGAAAGGAGCACTCCTTAATGTTTTTGGATGTGCTGCCTTTACTGCTGTTTCAGAAGGCTCCAAGGAGATACAATATGACTTCATCCACCTACCACAATCTCTTTGTGGCCTGACCACTGTAGTCCATGCACTGGTTGCTGCAATGCCTTCTATGTGAAGCTGCCTTTGGGCCTGGTTTGGGAAAATGAGGTGGCCTGACTGCTGATGTTTAAACATCTGCACTGGCTATCCATCTACTATCAAGCCAAGTACAAGGTCCTAGTATTAATATACAAAGCCCTAAACAACTTAGGTCCGGGGCACTTTAGGGACCACCTGAACCCCTATATCCCAACTAAGACCATCTGCAGAAGCATTGCTGATTGTTCCCCAAGTTGGTGAGGTTAATTTGGGAATAGCAAGAAACCGTGCCTTTTAGTGTCATTGATCCAGTATTGTGGACTGAGACTGAGCAGGCGCCTTCTGTTTCAACTTTTAAATGCCTGTTGAAAACTTTTGCATTCCATGAGGCTTATGGAGGCATGCAAGAATACATCTTCTCATAATAATTTGGTGATTTCTGATTTTAATTCTTTCATATTTTTACTATAAGTTATGTATAGTACTGATTGGGAAAAAATGAATTAGCAGTATATAAATATTTTTCTATAAATAATAAAATAAAATAAAAATACATGCCTGGCCAAGGTTGGCTCTTAGGTCTCCTCCTCTGCATCGCTTTGTCCACTCAGAAGTAACAGGGGGTGCAGAGGGGTTAGGGGGGTCTGTGTCTGGAAGGCACCCTTATGCTGATGTCCAGCATAGCTACTGTTTTTAAGAAGGAGATGGGTAAGATTTGGCCAAATTTGGGAGGAGTCAGAGATGGGACTTCTGGATTTCATTAAGAGAAAGTTACCAGATTTTTTTTTCAAAGAATCTGGGGACACTTTTTTTCCCTGAAAACAGAGGAAAAAAGTTAATAAACAAAAAGGTTTTTTTGTTTTTGTTTTTTTATTAAAAAAAAAGAAGTACCGGTAATATCTTCTCTTCTGTGGTCTCCTCTGTCGCATGACCTTCCTCTCAGCCCTGGCTTGCTCTCTTGGAGTGCTAGCCGCCATGGAGGTAGGCTCGGGTCGGGCTTGGGCTCAGCCACGTGTCCTTGCCCTCCCGGTGCTCTCCTCCCTCTCCTCCTCAGCGGCAGTGGCAGCAGTGGTGCAAGGTCAGGGCTCCCCTCTTTTTTTTCTCCTTCCTCTTTCTTCCTTCTCCTCTCCTCCTCCCCCTGTGTCGGCTCCGGGGTTTTACTGGCCCCGGAGCACCGCTGGGTGGGTGGGTGGCTGGGCACTCTCGCTCCTGGCTCGATTTGGGTCGGGGAGTCAGTCAGTGGTTCCCCCAGTTGATACGTCGGGCGTCCCCAGTTCCCCCTCGGCAGTGGCGGCGGCAGTGGCAATCTTAGCAGCCCGGAGCCAGCCTGGTAGCGCAGTTGGCTCTAGCTGGCTTCAGGAGCTGCTCGCTGCTGTGGCGCCAGCCATTTTGCCTCGCCAGAAGTCCCCATATGATGTGTCTTGTGCCATTGAACCAATCACACAACATTCATTCCCTACTAATAAATCTACAACACTTAAAATATAAATCCGGGGATATTAAATGAAATCCGGGGATATTCTGGGGACGGATTTTGTCCAGGAACAGATTTGTAAATGTGGGGACTGTCCCCAGGAAACAAGGACATCTGGTAACCATACATTAAGAGCCCCCTAGCTTTCTCTCCATGTGTGCACCAACAACAAGCACATTCAAGTCCTGTTCTGGTAGTAATTGCTCCCATTTATCTATTTATGTAATATCTCACCCTTCCTCCTAAAAGAGACCAGGGTATCATGTCGGGCAACATAGGAGGAGGAGGACCAAATGTGGAGAATGGCTCTTCATGTGCAGAACAGGTTCACCTGCAGGAACCAAGCCTTCATTGGGTACAGCTGTAAAATGCAAAGGCCAATTCCTTGAAGACCTTTCTGCTGTAGGTGTCATGTTAGTGTGGGTACTTGGTGCAGACCTGCTCTATCTACCTTGCCCTTTGTGGGACAATGACCACCTGAATAAGGCTACAGGATATTCATTATCCAAGTACAAAAAGCACTAGGGGGGAAATCAGGCAAGACAACAAAGGAAATACAGTGGAGGAAAGGTAGGGGGTCAAGTGAGGGTATAACTGGGGGACAAGAACTTTTGATGAGCACATGACATTTGGCAAAACAAAGGCTAGACCACCCAAAAACGGGCATCTGAGAGGCATGAAAGGAAAAGCAAGGGAGGTAACATGAGAGATAGTATGCAAGCAAGGAAGGGGGAAGATTCAGACTTTATTAAAACAAAAACAGAAGGAGATGTATTCACTTGAATTGGGAAGGGAGGGGTTAGCCAGCAAACCTCCTCCTTGCATTCTCCTTTGATCAACCACATGGCAGGCTGGCTTCAGATCAGACAGCAAATGAGATGATAATATGACTGAAAATGCTGCATGTTTTCCCCCCCTTTCTTTCTTACAGGATCAGAATGTCAGGAGAATGTGGGCAGGAGAGAGTTTATCAAAACACTGCCTGTTTAATTCGCGCCCCCTGTTCTTCCATGATAACTCCATAGCTGCCCTCCTTGACCATAATACCACGAAGAGCCCTTTTTGACAGCAGCCAAACTGCAGCAATAATGGAAATAGGACACAGTGTTTAACGCTAGCAAGATCCAACACCCCTTAGCAAGTTTTTACA